GAGCTCTGCAACACCAGTGTGGGACTGGTCTTTCGAGTTTGAAAATGCTTTTGGAAAGGCAAAATACAGTTGTTACAGTGTCTAATTAACATGTAATTGTGAATGTAATGGAAATAATTTGAATCTCTTAAAGCACAACTGATGGCCTAAAGCACAACTGATGGCCTAACCATATAAGTTATGCATACTGTATATGGAAAAGCCCAACTAATGACAGAACTGAGTTAGTAGATACATCACTATAAACAAAAAATGTTTTCACTCTGTGGAACAGTCTCAAGTAGCAGCCCAGTTATTCCAGTTACTCTTTAGTAACAGAATTAGAAGTCAGTAAATGACATAACTGACTGGATTTATATGTCTCAACACAATAAAAGCTCACATACTGTATGAAGCTGGATACAGAATACTGTTCTATATACCTTTGAATAAAACTTATTTTAAAGGGGGAACTCCAAAGCTATTTTTATATTTCAGAGTTAGAAAGAATCGGCATTGATGAGTGCATTTCAAACCACAATAGAAGTAAAACGTACACAATAAGTTGTAAAACTTCCAATTTACAGAAAAAACAGAAGACATTTCCAGGCACGCACCGCACCATGTTATTAGACTCACAACAAGGCAACAAAAACTTCCGATGACGTGAAAAGGCCCTATTAGATTGTAAGAAGCAGACTTGTGAATTCATATCTCTTAATCCGACAGAAATATTGCTCTACATTTCGAGACGGTTTTGCCAATAAATATAACTTACTTGTTAACTCTGCATGCAGATCACACTGGAAAAATTCTGCAGTGAAATATCTGCCGCACAACCTGTATTTATTTGCTCGTACATTGCATTACATTAGTTACTACAGTGAGCAGGAAGGGCTACATCATGTCACAATTTGTGGGAACTCTCGCTCTTGACGAGACCAGAGGTTTATAACATGGCGACTTATAGTACTTCACAAAGTTCATGATTTTGTGCTTAATTCAAAAGTCAATTTTTGTCAAAATTTCCATACCGTCAACAAATTTATTTTGTTACCGAGATTTAACAACCGAGAAATTGGGACTGCTGTTCCCCTTTAAGCTCATGGCTAGTCATTCTACGATTGTATAAATCCATGAGAGTACGATAAGTAAGTGTAGTTCATGTCACTAGATATGAAAATGCCTTAGAAGAAAATATTGCTACCTACAGCATTCCTCCAGAAAAATTCCTATCTGACTTTTTGGTTTGGTTGCTGTATTTGCTGGTTGCTAGACGACATCCAGCGTTGCACTTCCTATATGTTAAGTGCAATGAGATCTTTTAGAAAAAAAGGATTATGCAGATCCAAGCAATTATTATTAATTGCTTGGGTAACTTGTATCTTAAGGTGCTTTTATGTCAGCATGAAGAATACATGATCAATAGTACACCACAATCATACAGGCTTTATTAAAGGGCATCTTGCAGCATTTCCTCCACATTACACACTTACGGAGGTATTGAGCAGCTCGAGAGAGAACATTTGCAGTCAGGACTAGATAATATGGGCTTGAGATAGTTTTATACATCAATTGGTAGCAATGGTATTAACAGTCAACAGGTGTTCTTTCTAGTTTACAATTTCTAGGGGTGCTCGTCAAGAAATCTCACTGTTCTCTCGGTTGATTGCCTTGTCTTTGGAGTTATTAACTCAAGTAATGGGTTTATCTACTATAAAAGCTATTTTTGCTAAGAATACAGGAGGACATAATTTGCAAGGCATGTGTCATAGAGATGTCCACAAATGGGGAAAACTACAAATAGTGTACTCTTCTGCACCAAAAGCAGCCACATATTCAATAAAAGAATGGAACAATGAAACAAACATAATATGTAATATTAAACATTTCATTAGACTTACATTTAATATACTATTGCGTATATTTTTCTCTCTAGTTCTGCACACCTGTGTATGCTGTACACTGTATCTATCATCTATGCAAGCTTAGCTAAAAATTCAACTTTCAACATAAAGTCAACATTTTGGCCCTTTGGGCCTCTCAAACTATCTGCACTATCATTTCCATTTATTTTAGTTGATAAAATTATGGGTATAGATTATTGAAACAGAGATCTATTGTAGAATCTTAAAAAAAAACAAAATTAGTCAAACACCATAAATCTGGCCACCTTTTTCACACAAACAAGCTCTGCAATGGGCAGAGGTTTAAAGCTATTGCTCTTTTACTGAGGTTACTATCCTCTTGTGAACACAGAGTTCTAGGCAGGAAGTACTGTACGTCAAAAAATGTCAAGAAATACTAAAAATGTATTGGCTGCTGGTTGCACAGAACGGTATCCACCATAAAACTTTACAAAGTGACGGAAATACTTCTGTACTTCTTGTAACATCACCATGGGTTACTGCCAAAAGGGCACTATAAATCAGAATCCAGATCCGAGTCGCAAGAGAAAGGCTGAAACTGAACCCAGCATCTGCAACTTTAACTCTAACTTTTCAAGAACTAGAGGTCATGTGTGGAAACTATGTGGAAACGGCCGTGGGATTGTGAAACCAAGTGCCATGTTGTTTAAGTTGAAACCCCAGATTCTTTCAAGAAACGGCTGGATAATATCATCAGATCAATTAGCTAATATCTAACAAACTGTCTAGACAGTCTCTATGACATCTTCTTGATTGTAACCTTTCTCATGTCCTAAACTACAGTATTGCCTTTGTTTCAAAGGTCTTCTGAAAACAAAGTCAAGACTCCCTAATCTCACAGGGGGGGCTCTTGGTTATACAAACATCCTGCACAACGCTGGACAACCAGAGATCACATGATTTGTTTCAAACAGAATGTAAAAACTGGTGGTACGATTTTGTCATCAACCTAACGGAGCTGTGAATATCTACCCAAATTAACTCAGTTTCACAAGCCAGAGATTAAAGAACTAATTAAGCAGGCTGGTTGTTTGTAGTAACTGATGAATCAGATCTGGAGATCTCTGAAGTTATGCCGTTCCAACACCACAAACCAGGCTAAGCCAAAACCACCAATTGTGCTAAGCTCTTAGTGTAGCATTTCAGCACATTTGAAGGCTTTTAGTGCTCAAAGGTAATCAATGAAAACGAACTAGGTTCCAATGCTCAGATTGAATTCAAAAACATAAAGCCATATATATGTTTATATACATTTTTTAGATTTACAGGGTCCCATTTTTTTTCCAATTTGTTAGTTGAAACTAGTGCCATATAAAGTAGGCTTTCCTAACCGGCATGCATGGAGGAATATGAGGCACAAGATAGTCAATAATGTCAGTCTTTTAAACTTTTAAGTTATCACATAATCAATAACAATAACCTTCTGCACAACCACTCATAAGACTAAATTTCCGTAAATCATAACTAAATGTTATACATTGTTTTCATATTTACAAATATTTCTCCCTATCTCTGCCTTACTTGCTAGTTATATCCCCTGAAATTATACAGATTTCACAATTAATTGGTTTAAGTATGTAATACTATTAGAACATTTTGCAATGGAGAAATACCACCAACCTCGGAATATACTGACAATCCAACACCTCAAATCAACTAATACTGAGATTTACTTTTCTTTATGTGCATGCCATCGCAGTAAACACTTTAAATTAATTTAAATGGCTAAATAAAACAAATGACTAGACATTGGCTTGAATATATAGACAACTTTCTCAATTTTCTACAAACATACCTCTCTATAGTAAAATGGCATGTGCATCATTTCTTACAGTACTGCTAATTGCACCAGTGCTTCTATCTAAAACTGCCCAACTGATGTTAAGGAGGCCTTTTGTTTTGTGATTTTGGTTAGAGAAGTGGGAGTTGATGTACCACTGTTGGAGCGGAGTAAATTTTACCACGTGATCTAAATGTTTTACTATTGAAAATGTTTTTAAAAAAGCATGTGTAAGGTGGATTTTTCCCTCATTTGAAAAAAAAAAACAGAGAAAGCATCTGATTCTTTAACTGTCATCAAACTAAACAAATGATCATTTAGAGAAAATAAGTGGATGCTTCTGTACTCAATATATTTGATAGTTGATAGATATATTTGATAGATATAAGGGAGAGCTCAAAGAAAGGTATTAATCTTATAAATAAGTACTATTGTTGAACAAAGGAGGCTATCAGTAGAAGGTCAACAGTATTCCATTGTGCAGTACAGGCTTTGCTCAGTACAGTGGTAGGCAGCAGTATCAACCCACACAAGAGTTTTAATTTAGTTCAAGTCCTCAAAGGACCGATCTATTCTCAAGATTTCTGCTTAATTAACAGGACCACAAAAAGACTGAAGTCCCAAAGCTTCTGTCCAAAGTTCCTTGCAGGCAGAAACTTTATTGATCAGTAATTGTAGGAAAAAGTGGAACAGAGAGACTTTGAGACTCATTTGCAACTCTCACTGTAGCCCTATAATCTTAAAATGTTATTGGTTAATATTTTATTATGGCTACTAAAATAAAGAAAATTAGCAACTAAAACCACAATCAGAGATATGAAAAACCTTGCACACTCTGCCAAAAATCATCAAAGCAAATACAAAGGAACAGTTGTCGTTTAAAAGAAAATGTGCACAAAAAACTATCAAGATAGCAGCCTTCAGTGCAACAGGTTACCACAAGTCAGGAAGAGAAAGAAATCGCACAGTGGGCAGTACAATTTCACATCACATCAGTGATACTGAAGCTTTCATTTTTTAAATGAGCTGGGAAGTATAAAGCGAAAAACGAAACCTTTGAGAATTTAGAAAAAACAAAGAACATCTGTTGGTGTGCTTTCTTGTATCGTTTAGCTTACCCATACGTTTATAAGACAGAAGAATTTAAAATATAGCTGAGGCTGAGTCCACTCATTCCAAAACTAATTTTGGCTTTTCAACATGAAAGACGTGTACAGTAAAATGCAAAACATACAAATGGCACCATTAAAAAATATGGCACATGAATGTACTGTACAGTGCAACAGCAATAAGAAAAACCCTCTGATGCTTACCTCCTGATCCTAACTGCTTGTAGAATCTATATTCCAAGTGTAACTGTGGTGCCCTGGACTTCATTGGTTCCTATTTACAAAGGAAACAGAAAAATAAGGACTGCCCATATATGTAACAAACATATAAAAGACGTACAGTAGAACAAAACATACTTTACTCACCAGCTTAATTGCCACATATTCATTTGTATACAGATTTTTACCTGTAAAGCAAAAAAGAACAGGGGAAAAATTAGATGCTGCTGCTGGTTTCAAAATGCATACCTTTATTTGTACTCATGTTAAAAGAATATCCACATTAATGAGTAATCGGTTATTCTAACAATCTTAAATACAACAAGTTAGGCTTAATGTGAAAATGAATGTTAATTTAATTGTTTGACTCAAGCTGCTAGATGTATTAACCAAGTAAGATCAAATGACCATTCATGGAAAGATCCCAAAGAAATGGGATCGATATAGGTTTAATACATTATCATTCGCACTCATAGGTGAGATACAGAATATGGAGAGCTAAAGTCTGACTATAGTGATTTCCTAAAAGTGAAACAGTGAAAAATCGTGAAAAAAATTGGCATAAAACAACAGAAGAGTTGAAAACTATGTTCTTATTAAATTACTCGTATCAGACAGATTTTAATAACTGCAATAATGAAATGACTTAAACACTATTAATGGGAAATTAACCTTCCTGACAATAATGTATAATGATTTACATAGAAACTCTTATCATGCTTCTTATATCATCTTTAAAACAATAAAAGGACTGGCTGAGTAAAAAATAATCCTCTTGTACGACCTTGCAAATTATCTCTTACTAATCTCCTATTAACTAGGATACATCAGTATTTGGCACATTCTATGAAAGCAGAAGACAAAGCTTTATTAATTGTGTAATCATCTACTTTGTAGCACACCCCACTCCTTTGCAGTATTAATTCTGTAGTTGTGAGGCTCCAGTATAAGATAACCAAATTCATTAAGTGTTAACAAATCTCTTTTTAAGATATATTTGATATTATGAAATACCTACATCAGTGACAAATGTGTTCCTGAAATGATGGGGATTGCTTTCAGGATGGACAAACCTTCTCCTAAATTAATTTCTTCTATGTTAATACCTAAATGTCTAAATTATTTGGTAGTGGTAGAATAACTGCTCGTACTGTGTGTGGTTTTGTCACTGAGGGCCTTCAATACCATATTCTTGAAAGACAAGACTAGACATTTCCAGTCATACACATAAGCAATAGTATCAGTGTCACACTGGCTATATCAGGTAAATGCAATGACACAAAGCAGAAAATACACTGCAAAATCTCTCACGCAACTAGTAATGAATACTTGTATAAGATAAAAACAAACTGATACAAAAAACAGCTTTTTGAGCTTTAGTTACAAATGGATTCGTGGATAAATGTATTACACTATGTATAAACGGAACAAATACAAACTGTATTTACATCATATTCTTCCCCCACAAATCGGAAGGGAGAAAAGTTAGCCTAATCATCATGTATACACCCTTTACATGTTATCGCCCTACTCCCCACCTCGCAACCTCTGCTCTTCAAATTCTGCCCTCCTTACTGTCCCCCAAGCCCGTCTACATTGTATGGGTGACAGGGCCTTCTCCTGTTATGCCCCCAAGCTCTGGAACTCTTTGCTCGAGGATATCAGAGAGTCACCTTCTCTAAACTCCTTCAAATCCAGACTCAAAACCTTCTTCAGAAAAGCCTTTACTTAACTGGTTCCATTCTTCACCCCTCTGCTCTTCTTAGTGCCACCTCCCACGGTCTCCTCTATATATTGTAATTGTGTTTGATCTTGTGTATTCTCCTTATTTATTGTTATTGTCATCCTGTAAAGCGCTTTGAGAAGCCACCTTTAAAGGCGCTATATAAAATAAAGTTTTTTATTATTATTATTATTATTATATTACTTACAAATGTGCAAGAAATAATAGATTTTATAAGAGTTTTTAAGGAACACAGAAGCACATTTTTTGTTAGATTTCAGGATTTCATTTGCCATCATACAAAGCTATGATGAAGCTTAATTTGTTAGGAAACATTGGAGTAGGAGGGTCAATCCCAAGGAAAGTCATTACATTAAGCTTAATTGGGGCAGACTGCTGTAATGAGCATGTGCTTACAATATAGAGTATTCACAAAATCTCTCAAGTCCAAAGCAGCAGCAGGCTTCTTTTACATTCTCCAACTTAATCAGCCGTGAAACATCATGGCAAGACAGTTGGGACCATGCCAAAGGTGGTTTTTGCTAATATGCTTTCTATCTATAGACTATTATTAAATCTTCTGATGCTAAAATAGATCAAATACTTAAATGGTTATGAAATACTGGCACTAGTAATTTCTTAACCCAGGGAACCCCAACTCTGGTCTTGAAGGACCAGTATGTCTTAAGGTTTTTGTTCCCAACTCCTCTTAATAACCTAAATCATTGTACAATTTGCTTAACTGGAACAGTTAACCAACTTCTCCCAGCACTTCAGGGGCTTCTAATTTAAAAAGATCAAGACAACCTGCAGGTACATCAATCAATCGGACTACATCTGAACCACCTGATCCAACAAAACTATGTGTTTTGTGTCTGCACGGACAAATCACATATCTATCAGCTGGTATTGCCAACTGATGATTTTCAGGTAACGTGTAATTGGTAACAAAAAAAACGAGTGAAACAGTTAAGAGAGACAAATAGTGACATATACAACATGTTTCATTTACAAAAGGCATTCATCTTTAAATTATCTAGTTAAAAAGCAATAATTATTGCAAAATATAATGTTATCTTCTAATAACTGAAGTATTTTTTTCCCTCTGACTTCCATTCGTTTTAGTACATAGTGTTATGAATTGAAGAGTGCCGATTTGACAGTACTAAGATGACCTTGAGACGAGTTTGACCCCGAGTCAACATTCTGAGATGAAAAAACTGGGCCCTCTTTTCAGGGTTGTTGTAATTCATGTGGCTTGACTATTGTTTCATTGAGCGCGTATTGTAAGACATTTTTGGTCTTGAATAACCCCATAATAGAGCAAAATATCAGTTTGACTGATATTTTATCAGTATCACTGAGCATGGAATAGTTAAGACCTGTGGTGAAGTACTGAGTAATGAATCACTGAAACAGAATAAGTGAAAGAGGCTTCTTGATGCTAAACACAGCTCTATTGTTGGGAAAGACTGGAGCTTCTTTGAAAAGAAAGAACAACAAATCAAATGACAGAGACCTGATACTCCAGCCAATAGAGTTGTATATCTTGTGCAAGAAGCCACTCTAGTTTCTTAACACGTTGCTGGGTGGATCACAAAGCAAGAGGAGCGACACACCAACTGACAATGAACCTGTGAAACCGACATCCACACACATGGGGTGCTTGACCAGTGGAGGTAACACTGCCAATTGAACAGATACAGCTGTCAAATGATACCTTTTGTACATGTATTCATGACGTGTCAAGTGAGCTCAAAAGAAAATGATTGCAGCTATAAAAACAAGTGGGAGGTTTAATCCTCAGCTGTATGAAACAACTAACGTGAAAGACAATGCACATCCAGTATGTATGCTATCCAGGGACAACGGATATAGAAGAGGAATTTCTGTTTTACTGGCCACAGACTATAGGAAGATATTTTTAAATAGAAGCAGACTTAATTTTTCAGTGAAGAAGGTATGACCCAGAATCAGTTTTTAGTTTGTGCAACGATGAAATGAAGGAACTTAATCCGCAGGTGTAACCTTCTCATTGTCTCCTCTAGAGGGTGAATCCTGCTTCTAAGATGCTGTGGAATGAGTTGGATAGTGTGGTGAAAGACGTCATTCATGTTGTGAATGTTTATAAAAGCGAGGTTTCTCAACAACAGGATGTTAAGACGGGTCTGCTCTAAGAAATTCACTCCTACTTACTTCATTTTGAGCAAAAAAAAAAAAGATTTGTGTTAGGAAAAAGGTCATCTCCTAGCTCCAGGGTTCTTGAACTCCAAGTGGATATTAGAACTAGCCTATTTTTCAGATATTATTTGCTGAAATCAAAAACTGAATATTTCAATGCAAGGCTGTGATCAAGCAATGGTTAGGCTAACAGAGGATTTATAAGCTTTCAAAGGAAAGCTGAAATGGTGAAAGAGGAAAATGAAAGAAAACAAGATTGTCTTTCTCGACATTAAACTTGCTTCTGAAAGATAAAAATGTTAAATATTCAGATGCAAAAAATTATTGTGGGGGGGACTAACTCTTGCCTTTGACCACTACATCCTGGACCATGTGACTAAATACTGTACAGCTGCACATCCCATTTGACATTGACTTAGAACAGTGGTTCTCAAACTGTGGTACTCGTACCGGCAGTGGTACGTGGAGTCCGCCAAGTGGTACGCCAAATGACCCTGGAACTGTGTCGAGTGCGCTGAAAAATCGGGACGGGTTTTCATATTTTGTATTTTAATACGTGTCGAATACGCAGCCTACGTACTATGTATTACTACGTATTACAGTGCGCGGTAATACTTCAGTGGACACAAGAGATAATCTGTAATTCTATACCACTCTATAGGAATGCGTGCTACGGATGCAAATGACCAATTGTATTTAAAAAAAATTACCGTATCTCTAGCAAATAGGGAGAAAGGAGAATGTGCTGGATTTTGGAACAATGCTAACGTTGTAAACACAGGAATGCATGGAAATACGTGCTACGAACGCAGGTAATCTTGTGAGCACACGAAAGCGTGATAACAGAAAAATATTTAAGAACTGTTCTAATTTGAGAAAAATATAATATAGAAGTCTCTGTGTTTCACTCCCATGCGCATGTGATAAAAACTTTAAATATGGAAATAAAATGGAAACGCGGAAAAATGCAAGCTTGCGGATTGCTAAAGCAGGTAAGCTACACTATTTTTGAAGAACCTTATTTACCTTGGCAAAAGAGCTGACACGTATTATGTGTAGAGAAAAAGCTGCTAAACAGCTCGACCTGCTGCCCCCCTCCCCCTGAAAGACACAGTCATTCATAGAATTATTGAAATGAAGGATTATATCAAAAGTACACTGATAGAGCGCGTTAAGATGAGCAGATGTTTTTCACTGCAATTAGATGAGTCTGTAGTCGATTTTGCATGTCCCATGAAGACTTTCTGTTCTGTAAACTGCTACCAACAGGAACTACAGGAGAGC